AAAAAAAAAAAAAAAAAAAAAGTGTTCTGTGTATATTTTAGGTACTAGTATTTTATCAGATCTGTTTTGCAAATATTTTCTTCTCATCTGGAGCTTGTCTATTTATTTTCTTGACAGTATCTTTGATAAAGCAGAGTTTTTTTTTTCATTTGAATGAATACAGCTTATCAATTCTTTATTTCATGGATAATAAGTTCACCTGGGAATTCTTGTTTGGTGATCACCAGGTGGCAAATCAAAGATGTGATTTCTTTGAGAACAGGTATCTATGTCCTCCAGAGGGCTTAGACAGGCGTCCTCAAACTATGGCCCATGGGCCACCTGCGGCCCACTGAGGACATTTATCCGGCCTGCCTGGTGTTTTTGCCGCCCCTGCCTGTCCTGCTTAGCAGCCGACTCGTCCCGAGGCCCTCAGTCTGGCCCTTCAGTGGTCTGAGGGACAGTGAACTGGCCCCCTGTTTATAAAGTTTGAGGACCCCTGGCTTAGAATATGGCAAGTTATTGCTTCTTAGCTTCATGCTGGTCATTTAAGTGGTGTGTGATTGTGTAATTGCAAACCATGAGGGCTGTCCAGAAAGGGTCCAGACATTGCTAATAGAGTTTTTCATGGTACATCCATGGATACTTTTGCAGACAGCCCTCATAGATTGAGATAGCTAACATAAAATTACTTTCAGATTAAAGATGGGAAAAAATAATGACTTATAGCAGAAACTCCTTGAGATAAACTCCACGAGGGATTGGGTGTCAGCTCACTTTAGACATTCACAAAAGTCACGTGCTTTGAGTTTCCCTGCAGCACACCATGGGTTGCTTCTTCTTAGACCCTGCGTTAGTTGATGCAATGGGAGAAAAGGATGTTGGATCACTTCCTCCAGGGATAGAAGTTTCTATGTTCCTTACCTTGAATACATATTGACATAAAGCCCTCAAATTTTAAGATGTCTTCTCAACCTGTCTCTCCTTTGAAATTATTTTTAAGTAGAGGTGTGACTTGTGCCTAATGATTTGTTCTTGGTATCATCTCTGGTCTTCCAGGCTTACAAATCCCTGTTGGACAATAATATACAGTGAGGAGATTTATTTTTTCCAGGTTAAACAACTCTGGCCCTTAATTAATCAAAAGAATGGATTCAGTAGAGCCGAGAAAGTTGAGATGCCCAGGGCTAGCAGCTTAGAGAGTTGATTCAATGAATATTTATTGAACAAATGTTTATTGAATACCTGTTGTGTTCCAGATACTATTCTAGGAGGTAGAAGTGCAGCAATGAACAACAACGTCCTTGCCCACAGGCATTCCCATTCCAGTTGAGAGTAATAAAAAATAAATGAGCAGCAATAGAGTATATACTGTAATGCTATGTAGATCAGTGCCAGGAAGAAAAGAAGACCGTGTACGGTAATAGAGAGGAATGGATTACCTGGTATTTTATAAAATGCGCCAGCCAAGATTGAGCTGAAAAGGGGACAACTGAGCAGAAGTCGATAGGTTGAGCACCAAGTTATACAGATATTCAGGGTGAAGAGAGAGAAATGATTTAAGAAAAGCAAATAGTAAACGTTAATATTGGAATTTTAAGAGTTTTAAGTATTTGAAGAGTGGGTACCTTCCCAGTCATAGTCAAAATATCAGGCTTTAAAACAAAAAGAAAAACCCAACAGACAATCATCCCACACTCTGAATAAGAAAGCAGTTAACTGGCGTAAGAAAGAACAGAGGGCCTGGATTCAGAACACCTGAGTTCAGGCCTCTGCGTTGCCTTTTACCAGCACTGGCCTCAGGTGAGTTATCACATCTAAGACCTCATTTAACCTGTAATCACTGGGAGAGGATAATAAATACTCTGGTGTGGAAACTGGTGCGTCAGGCACACCGTGCTGGGTCCTCACACCCAGAGGCAGGTCTAATAGTGAATAATGATCAGTAGTGAATAAGGATCTTCACTATTCAGAGGTAATTATGTGCTTCTGATCAATTAATTTCCCTTCCACTTTCAAGGTGCCCTGTGCAAGCACTTTGTAAAGTCTAAGATGCTATCGGTGCTCAGTTGACACAGGGTACTGTTGCTGGACCGTGGTGTTCATCTGCCTCTCACCCACACCCATCACCAGAGAAGGGGATGAGAGATCAACAGCTTCACTTTATTTACAGAAACGCCAGCAATTCCAGAGAACAGCGAGGATATCTCCTCAAAGAGCTGCCCTGCTTTCCTGTTTCCTTTGCCAGCTGTGTACTTTCACAGCGAGGGCTAACTGGCAATGTTATCAAGCGCCACAACGTCCATTAGGCAGATCCCCTTCCCCCATAGATTTCAAGGTTATGAAACATCTTCCTGTTTTCAAAAGTGGCTATATCCTCAAGTCATTTCTATTCTGGACTAAATTCATGGAGTCAACACTTTACACTCTCCCTGGTGCCCTTAGTGCATTGGGTCCTTGACCAGCTCTGGGTCCTTGCCTAGCACCTTGGGCCTTGGTGCATCTGGTCTTCTAACTTTATCTATGACGGAGGTCTTGTAAGGGAATAAGCAAGTCCAGGTGGCAGCACATGGGCCCGTCTGGCCCTGCCAGGGCCTGCCCAGCAGTGCCCTGTATTTAATGGCTATTTTGAATAACAGTGGCTGCCATCATTGCAGCATGGCATATACCAAACTATAGTATGATCATGAAGTCACTAAACAGACCTGAATACATTTTCTCTGGGCATAAGCTTTATCTTTTAATAAGTAAGCAGGTATTATGGTGTAAGATACAAATTTTACATTTATAAGATCAAAACAAAATTTTAGAGAAATAGCTAAGTCTTCATTTTTTATATGTAAAATGTGATTGTTATTATATTAAAATATATTGTTATTATATAAAAAGATTAGTTCTTAGATGGACAAATAGAAAGCATGCCAACCGGACTGTTTATCCCATTACAGACGCTTAGCAAATGTCACTTTCCTTCCTCAGTAGGACTAGGACAATTGGGTGGCTTTGTTATTCTAAGTATTTCAAATGGCTTCATTATTTTAAAAATGGTATTGATAATAGTTCTAGTCTTCACTTATTAACTCTCCATATGTAAATAGTTGTTAATAAATTCTAAATTTTTGCTGTTGATATAGTCTTATAATTTGTATAGGCAAATAAGACCATATTAACAGCAAAAATTTAGAATTTATTAACATTGACTTGGCTGATGGGGGTATTCAAACTCCCCTGAAATTCACAATCAGTTACTTTCAGATCATAAACATTCTCTTTTTGTTCTTCGGCTTATTTCCCCCACCTTCCATGTCACTCTTCCGGAAGTCACGAATTACTCATAACATCAAACTAGTAATTAACTTCTTTTATGTTTATTGGATATTTGAATAAGTTGCTCTTTCATAACTTCTTCCTATTTTTCAGGAAGACAGTTTTTTTTTTCTATTGATACACGTTTTTCTATCTATTATGAAAGGACAACCAGTTGAAACAGTGAAAATAAGAAGCAAAAACTGAGATGCTATCTGCAATGTTTACAACTGGTTGTCCTTTCATAGTAGAAAAACGTGTACAGTAGAAAAAAAATTGTGTTTTTGAAAGACAGTGACATCATTACAATTACTCTTTAGACATTCAGTCCCGCTAGATATACATTTTGTATATGATGACAGATAAAGATCCAGTATTATTTTTTACAAATGTTTTCATTTGTCTGTTTTAATAGTTGGCCATCCTTTTCTTGTAATTTACGTTGCCACTTTAATTTATATGTGGTTCTATTTCCACACTCTATTTATTAGTTGATTTCTCTCTCTGCCACTATCATATTGTTATAACTATTATGCATTTATTATATATTAATATTAAGCATTGACACATAATAGAGGTTGTGATTTCTAACAAACATTCTCAGCTTGTTTTGTTTCTGTCTTTAGTTTTTTTTACTTCGGTTATAGGACCACCCTGATAAATTCTACAGAAAGCCCTTTGAGATTTTGCCTGGAGTTTATAGATTAATATATCAAAGTTGTCGCTTTCATTTTGTTGACTCTTTTAATTTAAAAATCACATATATACTTAATTAGGGCTTTTAAGTGTTCCAATACATTTTTAAAATGTTCTATTTAAAGCCCTTAAATTATCTTTTATTAGATGTTCTTAAATACTTTGTAGTTTCATTATTATTGGAAAGTGTATTTTTTTATTCAATACTTTTTCTCTTGGAGTGTTACTGAAATAAAGAAATGGCTTTATATACAGTCTTATGTTTAGAAATATTATTGAATTATTTTTAATATTTGCCATACTGGTTTGGATATTATACATAGATGGTCACGTTACACAGTGTGGTATTGGCAACAAGATGGAGAAATAGATTAATGGGCAGCATAAAAACTCGAGAATAGGTCCACTAAGATTGGAAAACTAATTTTCAACAAAGGCACAAAAGCAAGTCTTTAAAGAAACAATGGTCTTTTTAATGTAGGATTCTAGGGAAAAGCATATGCTTGTGAAAAAAAAAGAACTGCATTATACATCCCCCCATACATAAAATAAGGTAAAATAAATCATAGAACAGAAAATGTAAAAAGATATAAAATTTCTAAAGGATAACACAGGAGAAAATCTAATCTTGAGATCGGAAAGATTTCTTAACTATGACATCAAAAGCATGTCCATGAAAGAACAAATTGATTAATTGTACTTCATTGGTATATGTATACGCCAAAAAATGATCCAAGTATATGCTTCAAGTATATGCACTGTGTTGTATTTGTGTCCCAATCACTCTGTTTTAGAGATAACAAGAGAATCTGTCCTGTTTTCTGAGAATTCCAGAGGCACCACGTACCCTATGAAGACATGCTTCCCAAGAGCAGTGCCCATCTTCACGAAAGGGTCTTGTTCTGTTTCATTGAAATCTCTTTCATTGTACTGAAAACATTGTGTTTACATTCCCTTTAAATTAACAACTCACTTTGTTTTCTTTGGTTTTTAATCTTGTATGTTTTGATTTCTTCTAGGCTGATCCCAAAGTTGTGAGATGGAGAATAAATATAAGGAAATCCTGTTGCTGAAAGGCTTGGATCTCATTACCCAGGAGGAACTGGATAGGTTTAAGTTCTTTGTTCCAGACGAGTTCAGTATCCCTAGGGGCAAACTAGAAACTGCAAGCAGGACAGAGGTAGCTACCTTGATGATTCATAATGCCGGTGTGGTGCCTGCGGTGATGAAGACCATTTGTATTTTGCAGAAGTTGAATTACATGAATGTGGCAAAATGTCTTCAGGACGAAAAGGAGAAAGGTACTGTGAGAAGACCAAACCTGCCCAGTGCTTCTCTCTGCCCAGCCTGGGCCTTTCCCTTCCTGGCATCAGTGGCAGAAGGCCCCTAGGGCATCTTGCTGGAATTTGTTTGCTAATTTAGTGCACCTGCGTCTCTGTCCTCTTCTCCGGAGCATCACTTCTAGGAGTCTATGTTAGAAATTCCTCAGATCTATTCCAGCCTTGGTTTCCCATCTCTCCCTCCAGCCCTTAGGGCCACCACTTACAATATCCTCTTTCCGCTTTTCCCGTTTTTGCCTCCAGTCTACTTGCAGTAAACATGGACAGAGACTTTCAACGTTAATTTCTCAAAACCCCATTCACACAGTAGGTATTGCTCTCACATTTTATCAAAGCTTTGAAAATGACATAATCATAGCACTAGACAATCGAGACTGGGATGTCAGGGACCTTTGCTGTTTCACTCAATCTGTCCATTCCTCTTCTTTCCCCAGATAATCCTTTCTCCAGGAGACAAGCCTCTCTAAGTCAGGTGTTCTTTCTCCTGCTCTCTCTCCAACATAAGTGGCAATATAAATTTCCTATCACTCACAGACTGTTTTTTACATTATTCAGTAAATCACTGATCATCTCTCTCTAAAGTATCTACATTGGATTTGAATTCCTGAGTTTGTTTCCTGAGAGTATTGGACATCTCCTGGCTTTAAATGCCTAAAAAATAGCAAGGAAGAATCTCACGCAATGACTCTCCCAAATGCAACAGTTTGGGGACTTAAGTACAACTCCATTTGACCACAGCCTTTTTTATACAGTTATAACAGCTTTTTTTTCTTCAAGAGACAAAATCTTACTCCTCTGTCATGTCAAGATCTTACTCCTCTGTCATGTGTGGGCTAGAGTGCAGTGGCATCATCATAGATAGCTCACTGTAACCTCAAACTCCTGGGTTGGGCTCAAGTGAGTCTCCTGCCTCAGGCCCCAGCAACTGGGACTACAGGCGTGCACTAGCACGCCAGGTGGATTTTTCTATGCTTTGTAGAGACTCTTGCTCAGTCTGGTATCAACTCTTGGTCTCGCAAAGTGCTGGAATCACGGTTGTGAACCTTACACCTGGAGCCAAAACAACTTTTTAAGTAGTGTGTGTGCACGCACACACACACAACACCGATGACATGTTCTCTTATGCATTATTTCTTTGAAGGCTAAATGAGACCATGTAAGGATGCTATAAACAGCATAATTCTATACAGACATAAGCAGTTGCGTAGTATTGAAAGCACTGTAGAGAGAAGACTGGTTGTATCACGCATTTTATTTTCCCAATATATCTGGTTAGAAGGTGTAGTAGTTCTAGGCTATGGCCATTAGATGGCAGCAACTACACATAATTGGGTCCCAGTAACCCACTACCCTGTTTCTCTGATCTGGGCCAAGAGACAGGAATCTAGAAACTGTTGGCAAACAGATGGAAGATATTTGCCTCTTATGTTCTCCTCAGATGGAGAATGTATTCTTCTTTTGACCGGGATAACACCAAATTCCTCCTATTGTAATCTTTCCCCCATTTGCTGTTCTAATAATCCTGGGAGTTTATTACCTGTTCAGCTGAAAATGATCCAATCTGAAACCAGGTTGGAAATTCAAGGATGACCGGCAGCTGTGTGCAGTGTACAAGAAGTCAGTCAAGTTCCTTAATAGCTTCAGAAGTCCATCCAAGGCCGTACTTAGCCCTCCTTTGAATGCAGAAAGTTTATTTGTGCCCCATTCTAAGTAATAGATGGGAAGCCAGGTTTGGGTTTGTTTCATCTGTCAGCCTCTGTTGACTGCTCCTTCTTCATAGCCGTGCAAAGTGCCACGGGCTGCTCACCCCGGGGAAGGTGGAGGAGATTTGGAGAAAACTTTAAGGAAGACAGAGGCAGTAATCAGTAGATGAAAGAGGGTTTTGTGGGAAGAGAGATAAAAAAAATATGAAGACCCTTAAGCCTGGAAAAAGGAAGCTGAGAGAAAATGTGATCAAAGTCTACACAATTCTTGTAAGAGTAAAATGAGTTGAAGATGGTAAATGACATAGGTGACAAAATCTGTCCCTGATTATTCAGGAGAGGGGAGCTCTATGGGGGCAGGCATGTTCTTCCATAAATTTGTCTTTGGTACCACTATGTGTGAGACGGGGAACGGTTGCTGTGATGTGGTGGAGGGATATGTTGATTCCCTCAGCCTCGCTAAATCCTACTTTCTCCCCTGTACTGACAACATAGAAGGGAGACTTTATTTTTTCATGTTTCCCTCAATCACTAGTTTCATGGAACCTACATGCTATTAAAGCTTTGTTTAACTTCGTCTTAGAACAGAGGTCTCTGTATAGTATCTCTGACAGAGAGTCAACCTCTCTGTGCTCTTTAAAGGGTCTTACAGAGAACCTGCTACCTCAAAGACAGCCAAATCCACTCTCAGTTCTAAGTAAATCATTCTACTTTCTGATAAAATCAAGGCGATTTGCCTTGATCGAGTTCTACCAGAGATTATATCCTAATAATTTCTCATGTTCTCTTCTGTCTGAGAGTTGAGAATTCAATTCTGACTTTAAGAATTGAACATGACCATCTTGTTGCATGGTCTTTTTAAAATCAGAACTAGAACTTGCCTTTTTATAATAAAATATAACCTGACTCTATGGGGAGCCAACCCAGGCTGCACCCTGCATTGTGGTGGCACCCATGAGGAACCAGGTCATCTATCCTCTATATATCTATTCAGTAAATTTCTACTGAATAACTAACAGGTACAATTCTTTTAGGTTCTGATGATAGAAAAAGGTGTAAGAAACAAATTGAACTTTTGCAGAGCTTACATGCTAATGCAGGAGTTTATTTTTGCAAAAAGCAAATAAATAAATGAAATAAACTGAGATAAGTGCTCTGATTGGAACGCTGTATATTTGTTGAAATATAAAGTACTTTGTGTCTGGCTTCTGGAAAGGAAGGTGGTTCATCGAGGGTATGTGTTGAGAGAGTCTTAACATAAGCCATGAGTAAGAACTAGTATTGTTCAGGAGAGCCCTTCCTAGGGAGATGACCCTGGACCTAAGCTCTGGAAAATGCAGTTAAACATGTCTTCCGTCAGAGGGGCACTGCATGAAGGGGCCCTACTGCAGCAGTTGTTGACTTGCATAAGGACTTGGGAGAATAGCTCAAGGGCAGCATGACAGCCCTTTGACCGAAAGGCAATGCACGGCCTTATGATTAGAAGTATGTGTTTTAAAAGAAGTCAGAAGTGATCAAAAGTTTCAAGCAGGAGAGGAATACCAAATTTACAATTTGAAGTGATCCCTCTGGATTCTGGATTTGGAGGGGCTGCTTTGGCTACGGGGAGAGTAACTATTGCCACAGATCCGGCAGAGGTAATAGGAGCTTTGATTAGCTTATAAAAGTGGAAATGCAGGGAAATAGATCAAATGAAAATTTGGGAGGAAGAAGCATAAAGATGGTGATGGATTGAAGATGGAAGTTTAATGAATAGGCATTGTCAAGAAGGGTACTTTGATTTCCGTCAAATAATCAAGGTTTTATGAGTGAAATATACATACGTGGGTTGTACACATGCATATACACATGTTACATACTTGATACATATATCCATATGTAGATATCTGGATATTACTTTTTACTGGGGTATATCATAGATATAGAAAACACGCAGAATTGAAGAGTAGAGCTCAGCACATTGTCAAAACCTAAACAGACCATGGTGCACAACCATCTTGGTTCATAAATGGCATCTTTTTAGCACCCCTGAAGTTCCTTGTGTGCCCCTCCAAAACTCATTCTTACAGAGAGCTCTTATCTTGAATGCTAACACCACCGATACACTGGACCTGCTTTTACACATGAAAGAAATGATATGATACAAGGTACTTTGTGTCTGGCTTCCTTTATTCAAATGGTATTAGTGAATTCCACCTGTGTTGTATTTTGTAGCAGTGGTTTATTCATTGTCACTACTGTATAATATTCTATTTAATATACAGTTTATACATACACACACCATACACACACATACACAGAGGGAAGGAGGAAGAGAGAAAGTGTGTGTGTCACAGTGAGTTCACTGGATAAGTTGTTTTTTTTTTTTAAGACAGAGTCTCACTTTGTCACCTTTGATAGAGTGCTGTGGTGTTATAGCTCACAGCAACCTCAAACTCTTGGGCTCAAGTGATTCTCTTGCCTTAGCTTCCCAAGTAGCTGGAACTATAGGCGTTCACACAATGCCTGGCCTTTTTTTCTTTTGAGACAAGGTCTTGCTCTAGCTCAGGCTGCTTTCAAACTTGTGAGCTCAGGTGATCCACCGACCTTCGCCTCCCAGAGTGCTGGGATTACAGGTGTGAGTCACCACGCCTGGACAACTTTATAATTGTTATTTGAGTCATTTGAGGCCATTGTGAATAATGCTCCTGTGACCGTTTGTGTACCTGTGAGCATCATGTCCGTGGGCATGCCTGTGTGAGTTTGCTCCTCTTGGCTATCCACCTGTGAATGGAATACTGGATGTTAAGGTAGGTAGATACTGAATTTTAATAGCGACCCAAACTGTTTTCCAAGTGATGTACCAATTTGAGAATTCCATTTCACAGTTTTTGTAAAAAAAAATCAGACTCATTTAAAAAAATGAGCAATTCATGAAGATATCTTGATATGACTTTAATATTCATTTCTCTGATAACTTTTGATTGCTCTCCATATGTTTATATGTTTATTGATCATTTGAATATCTTATTTTATAAAGTGATCATTCATGTTTTTCCTACTTACCTGGTAGTTTTCATACATTTAAAAAATGTGCTTACGGGAATTGTTTATATTTTAGATACTAGTACTTTTATGCATACAAATAAAGTGTCAGAAAGTAAACCTGTTGAAGTACACCATTATCTCAGTCAACAATTGGAAATTTATATACTTTTATGTCAATCTGTGATTTGCTTTTGCTCACCTGTAATTCTATTTTTGATTAATATTGTAGTATGTTGTAGAAAAGGCTATAAAAAAGTTATAGAGTTAAAAAGAGGCTATAAAAAAAGTTATAGCCTTTTCTACAACATTCTACAGTATTAATCAAAAATAGAATTAAGGGTGAGCAAAAGCAAACCACAGATTGACATAAAAGTATATAAATTTCCAATTGTGGTATATGTATACCATGGAATACTATGTAGCCTTAAAAAAGATGGAGCCTTTGCCTCTTTTATGTTTACATGGATGGACCTGGAACATATTCTCCTAAGTATCTCAAGAATGAAGGAAAAAGTATCCAATGTTCTCAGTACTTCTATTTAACCAACTTATATTTACTCACACTTTCTTATGAAAGATAGAACACAACTGTAGCCCAAGATGAAGGAGAGAAGTGGAGTGGGAAGGGAGGGGAGGGAGGTAGTTTGATAGAGGGTAAAAGGCTGCACCCCACCTATGGAGCATATTATAAGGGTACAAATCAAATCTGTCAAGTGTAGAACACAAATGTCTTAACACAATAATCAAGGAAATGAGGCGAAAGCTATGTTGATTGGTTTGATGTAACCATGTCAGATTGTATAGAAAAACAACACATTTTACCCCACACGTGCACAAATGTATTCATGATCTATGGGTATATGACTTAATAAAAAAATTGCCTTATACTCCACTATTACAATACTCGAGTATTCTGAATATGACTATGTGTGAATTTGAATTGTACTATTAAGTTTTGTACTTTTATGTTTTATTGATGATTAGTTGTCTTTTATTTTAGCTTAAAGAACTCTTGTTAGCAATTTCTATAAGGTAATCCTAGTGGTAATGAAGTCTCTTAGCTTTTGTTGTCAGAGAGAAAATTATTTCTCACTCATTTCTGAAGGACGGCTTTGCTGGGTGAGTTATTGTTATGCAGGTTCCCCCCACCTTCAGGACTTTGAAAATATCATCCTATTCTCCCTTGGCCTGCAAAGTTTTTGCTGAGAAATCCTTTGATATATTGGTACTCCCTTGTATGTGATATACTTTTCATCTCTCACTTTTTTCAGAATTCTTTCTTTCTTTCTGAATTTTGATAGTTTGATTATGATGTGTCTGGTGAACTACGTTTTAGGTGGACTTTGATCAACACCTCTGAGCTTTCTGTGTCTGGATTTTGGAATCTTTCTCCAGATTTGGGAATAATTCAGCCATCATTTCTGTTAATTTGATTTCTGGCCCTTTCTCTCTCTCTTGCTCTGAAAAGTCTATCTTTTAAAAGTTAGTTTTCTTGATGATGTAACATAATTCTCATAAGCCACCTTCATTCTTTTGTCTTTTTGTGATAATTTCAAATGTCCTGTTTTTTTGTTTTTGTTTTTGAGACAGAGTCTCCCTTTGTCAGCCTCGGTAGAGTGCCCTGAGTGCATAACAACCTTAACCTCTTGAGCACGAGTGATTCTTTTGCCTCAGCATCCCAAGTAGCTAGGACTACAGGTGCCTGCCACAATACCCAGCTCAAATGCTCTATTTTTGATCTCACTGACTCTTTCTTCTGCTTAATTAAGTCTACTGTTGAAGCTTACTATTACATTTTTAAGTTTAGTTATTCTTTATTGCTAGTATTTCATTTTTTAAACTCTATTTTTATATAACTTCTCGCTTTAGTTATGAATTATTTTCCAAGTTTCATTTAATTGTTCATTTTTTTTCATAGTTTTCTGAACTTTGAAATGATTATTTTGAATGTTTTGTTAGTAATTTCATAGATCTCCATTTCTTTAGCGTCCATGATTGGACTAGTAGTTCCTTTTGGTGGTGTCCTGTTTCCCCAATTCTTTGTAACTCTTGTATCTTTGCACAAGCAGCCACCTCTTCTGGTCTTTGTAGGTGTTCTACGATGGGGATAGATTTTTGCTATTTAGTCTAGACTGGGATTTTGCAAGGGCCATTTGGTACTGACCATGTGAAAACACACCTTGCCGTCAGGTTCTCTAGCTGGGCTGGTCTCCTGCCTGTGCTCTGAGGTCAAGTCAGGCTGCTGGCTGTGTTCTGGGGTCTGACGAGATCACTGGATGGAATCTAGAGTTAGGCAGAGCTACTGGCTTGGCTCTGTGATCACCTTTGATTAGACTGTGTTGCTGACAATATTCCTTAGTGAAACAGTAACTGCTATTTGGAATCTGTATTTGGGCACAGCTAGAGGCTGGTTTCTTAGGTTAACCAAGGTTGCTATTGTCACTGTTCAGCTATTTGAAATGGTCAAACCACAGGCTATGTCCACAAATATATATGGTCCAGGGCTTGCCTCCTTGTCCAGGTGGAACTTCAGGCCAGGATCCAAAGCTAGGTGGAGTCATTGAGTGTCCAGTAATGGAGTATTAGATGCTTTGGTGCAAACATGCAGGTACGCAGGCTTGCTCCTGATTTGGGGAAGCTTTATTTAGAGCACCAAGGCTGGATGAGTCACCCACACAGTTGCTTGTGTCTAGCAAGACCAGATGCTCTTCTCTGTAGATATTTGTAGAAGGGGACTTGCCTCCAGCCTGAGGTAGCCTATGCAGAACTCCAAGGTTGTGTGTGGGGAGGTCACCATTCAGCCTTTGGGTCTGGAGGGAGAGATGTTCCACTCTGCATCTAAGTGTGGATATTCACTTGCTTCTTGGTCTGGGGAAGTCTTAAGCAGTGCTCCAAAGCTGGATGGGATTATCACATAGCTGCTGGCGTTGATTTGGGCAAGGTACTCCCTTCCACAGATTCATATGGAGTGCACTTGCCTCCTAGCCTACAGAAACTTTAAATAGAGCACCAAGGCAGGATGGGGAAGCTGGATAGTAACTTGAGCCTGACAGACCTGTTAACTGTGCTTCCTGCAAAACAATACTGTCGAATGGTCTCTCGGGTTGGGGGCCACCACTGGACAGAATGCAGGGCACTACCAATATCTATGTGCTGGTTGCTATGAGACCTACCCTGTCTTTTGTTTTTAACTGACTTCAGGTTGTCTAGCCCTGCCAATACCCCCATGTCCTCTGTGTGGCAAGAAAGAAGTGGGCCTTCTACAAAGCATTCTAGAATGTGGGGGATGCTGAATATCCACCCCCAGCTCTCCTTTCTCCCAGTAAAAACCAGTGGCCAACTGGAATCTTCTCTGAGTATCTCTATGCTAGCTGTGAGGAAGGCTAGCCCAGGAAAAGTGAAACCGTGCCTCTTACACTTTTGTCTTACTCTGTTTTGTTTTACTATAAAAGAATACCTGAGATTGGGTAATTGATAAAGGTTTATTTAACTCACAGTTCTGTGGGTTGAGAGATTCAAGGGCATGTCCATGACTTCTGAAGAGGTTTTTTCAGTCCGTGTCTCAGCATGGTCGAGGTTAGGCTATGTGTGAAGAAGAGAGAACTTGAGCAGTGTCTTGGCTTTGTAACAGCCCACTATTGTGGGAACTAATTCATTCCCACAAGAACTAATCCAGCCTTGTGAGAGAGACAGCACCACCCATTCATGAGGGATCCACCCCATAACCCAAACTCCTCCTGCTAGGTCTCACCTCCCAACACGTCACACTGGGGACCAAACTTCCACATGAGTTTTAGTGGGGGACAGACAACCTATATCCAAGCCATAGCTCCTTCTGGTGTGGCTTTTTTCAGTTCTGTGGGTTTAGAGAGTATCTAACACTGACATTCAAGTTCCGAGGTATTGGCAAATGTGTTCTGGTTGTGAGTGGCTGCCAGCTCATTTTCAGTAAGGGAGACTGGAGCTGGGGGACCTCTATGCTACCCTCCTGCTGGTATCACTCCTCTTATTTGCTTCTCAAAAGATAATGATATTTCAGTTTCTTAGCCACTTTTGTTCATCTCTTAAGGGTTTATGTGTCTTTGTTTTTAATCAGTTGACAAGGAATACAAATCAACCAAAAAACCAAAGACTACTCAAACTGGAATTGGTCCTGTCACCTCTGCGGAAGTCAGAAATGAGGTCTTGGCACAATGTGCTGCACCAGACGTCTCTCCTCTCATCAAGGTAGGATGGAGCAAGTGGAATGGCCTTGCTCCTTGTAAGAGCAGCCTCTGGTCAGTATCTCCTTCATCTTCCACATTGGGGCCTGTGTTCTCTATCTCATGTGTGTAAGTAAGGAAAATAAGGCAACAATGTGAAGAGTGTGTCTGGGTAACAAAAAGAGAAATCACCTCAGACTTAGCAGATCAAACACCTGCTGAGCTTTCAAGCTGGATGCTTTAATGCTTGGTTACATGCTGGATTCAATTAGGAGAAAATGCTGAAAAAGAGTTATTTTCAGAAAGTATGTTTTAGAGCCCTTCTGGTATGAATATCTCTGAGGAAATGAAAGGAATAGGAGCAGAAGAATTGCAAGTCCAGTTTAGTTGCAGCAGAGACCCCACCAGTTGCTCAGTAGCTGACAAGGTCTTTCAGGATTGCGGTGAGTTGGCTGGAGGGGGAAGCCGTTTATAGACCTGTGTTGACCAAGTTAAGTCGGACCTGTTTACCTGAGAAGGAAATGCTTAGTCCTAGGGGAGCAGAGGATGACACCTAAGAGTCCCACCGCAGAATCCGCTGCGCACAATCAATTTCATTTCCTGCGAAGTAGGTGTTATGCCATTTTATAAGTGTGTCAGCGATAGAAAATGATTATATGTACTCCATTCTCTTTGTTTAGAACAGCTACTTTCTCTGGGCTCGGTCCACAAATGTCTAGATTTGTTAGTGAAACAAAAGTATCTATCTAGTGAATTTGCATGTGATTTAATTGTTTATGTAAAAAGTAACATATTATATATCCTGTTCAGGACCTTACCCTTTATTTAATCAATTATAACAGTTTATTACATTATTCCTCAAAAGCATTTTAAAAATTTACATAGTGATCTATTAGGTGACTATACCAGATTTTATTTAACTGAATTCCTTTTGGAATATTTAAATTATTTCAAATTTTATATTTATAGGTAACAGGATATAATTCTTTTATGTAAACCTTAACACATAACTCATTATCCGTAACTAAGGGTAAATTCATAAAAGTAGAATTCTCCTTTTTACTTCCCCCTTTAACTCACTTGTAGGATCTCTGACCTGAGTTTTCCCCTTTACAGATTTAACGTAATTCATACTCTTATGATGCACGGGGTCTCACAGGGATGTGGGAGACTCTAGGCAGATCACTTGGTTCTCTTGCTTTTATAGAATAAAATGAAGGTTCAAAATAGCATTGGATGGAGGAACGAGGGCATATTAAGCCCTAGAGGAATGAATAGAAGAAGACAGGACCAGATTTATCCCTTTGCCTTAGCAGTATTTCAGAGATCTAATGAACATTTTGCATATAGTAGATGGCAAAACAAACACTTGAGTTTGGGGAGCCTGCCTCCAAAGCCCTCCTCATAGTATAGGAGTTGAAATCTTCCTTCTGCATTATTTCTTCTATCTTGATAATCAGAGGTCTCAAATCTCCTCCTCTTCTCGCCTCCTTATCTCCTACTTTGATGCCACCTGTCTTTCTGCTCCTGGCTGGCTTTCTGAAGTTTAGCATCACAGATGAAGTAAAGTTCTCTGAATAATATGTCCTTTACTCGCAGCTGATATCTTTCTTCTGTTGTCTTCAGCCTGTACAGAAGCAGATGGTGGCCCAGCAGGAATCCATCCGAGAAGGAGAGTTGCAGAAAGGCCGTTTGACAGTCTTGGTGCTGAAAGCAACGGAGCCCTTCGAGTTTGAGACCCAAGAAGGCAACCGAGAGATGATGTTTCATGCTACAGTGGCTACGGAGACGGAATTCTTTTTTGTAAAAGTTTTCAAAACACAGCTAAAAGATAAATTCACCCCAAAGAGAATAATTGTAATGTCAAAATATTATTGGCATAGTGGTTTCCTGGAGGTGAATAGTGCCTCGCTTGTGTCTGATGCTAAATCTAACCAAACGATCTGTGTCCCAAGGAACATTTGCAGAAAAGCTGGTGAAACCCCGAAGATCAAGAAGCTTCAAAGCCAGCCCATTGGAACAATTGTGAACGGGCTGTTTGTAGTCCAGAAGGTAAGTTCCTATCAACAATTTTATATGGGGTAGTAAGAATACAATATTTTCACTCTTAGGTAAAAGGGACTTTAGAAATGACTTATTTTCATGCCTTTCATATAGATAAAATCTAAAACAAATAAACACTTAATACTAAGTGGTTAAAGAGTTATTAACATGCCAAAGCTTTCAGAAAAACTCAAAAATTGTTTTTATTATCAAGAAGCTGCCACAATCCTGTCTCACCTTCTGTTTATCCTTGTAGCCTCTGAAAAGAGATTACTTCATACTCAAATAATTTTTCCATTTGTGTTATTGTTGTACTTTATATAAAATGTATCGTCTATATTCCAAGTGACTATTATTGGGAATGGCAAATAACTGCAGTTGGGTAATCAACCAGATTAATTGACCTGGAAAACCAATAAGCAGGGTGGCATTTTTTTAAAAAAATGAAAAAAAATTAGAATAGTTTGTTTAAAGAAACTTATTAGAAGTGAGAAGTAATAAATTATTATGACTCTGGAGCTTCATGGAGTAAGCCTTGTGGAGTGACTTTTTCTGGTCTAGGATAGGACTAAAGAACCACAGAAGGTTCTTCTGCTGACCTTGCCTCCAGAAGCCTTTGAACAAACTTTGCTGTCTTGAGTTAATTGCAAAGGAACTGATAGGCAAAATCTGTATTCCTAAAAAATTCAAACATACAATGCCCTTGGATAGGAAAGCCACATTCTTTCTTTTTTTCTTGCGGTTTTTGGCTGAGGCTGGGTTTGAACCCACCACTTCTAGCATATGGGGCGGGTGCCCTACTCCTTTGAGCCACAGGTGCCTCCCAAAAGCCACATTCTTGATCCTAGTTTTAAGCCTTCGATCTGGCCAGCCATCTGCTAATATGCATATATATTCATTTATCTCATAAGTTAAAGCTAAAATAAATGAACATCCTACATAACTGAGTAACGCTCTGTTTCCTTTTGGTCTGGACTTGACCATGAATTATTTCTTGTCCTTGATTTCTTATTCTTATTTAGAATGTTTATAAGGGCTTACATCATTGCCTCCTGTCTCTTCTGGATTTGTTGCCTGAAATAGCTGTCCTCCCACCCCAACCCCAGGGTCGTCCTTTCCCCTGACTGTTCTGGCTTGTCACCCTGGAGAAGCCCCATCTTCTCCCTGCACCAGTGTTTGCTTCTCTGGGCCATCCGTGTCTCCTGAAGGAAGAGAGCTTGGGACTGGAAAGATGGACATTGGAGGCAGTTTTTTCGAATTTGCTAGCACCTATTAGATCTATAACTCCGGTTTCAAACTGTTTTTTTTTTTTTTCTTGTGTAGTTGACCTTTGAACAATATAAGGGTTAGGGCCACCAAGTCCCACAGAGTTAAAAATTTGTGTGCAACTTTTGACTCCCTTAAAACTTAACTACTGATAGCCTACTGCTGACTGGAAGACTTACCAACAACATAAACAGTCAACACATATTTTGTATGAGATATATATATATATATTTAGTACTGTACACACACAATAAAGTAAGGTACATAAAAGGAAATGTTATTAAGAAAGTTATAAGAAAGAGAAAATATAGCTACTATCCAATAAGTGGCAATGGATCATCATAAAGGTCTTAATCGTCATCATCTTCAGGTTGACTAAGCTCAGGAGGAGAAGGAAGAGGAGAGGTGGGTCTGGTGGACTTAGAGGTGGGTCTGGCGGTCTTAGGGGTGGTAGAGGTGGAAGAAAATTTCTGGCCAAGTCAACTTACTCAGTTCAAACCAATGTTGTTCAAGAGTCAACTGTAGGTGCACCTTACAAGGGTATGTGTCAAATTTACTAAGTGTAGAATATTAATGTCTTAACACAATAATTAAGAAAGTGCAGTGAAGGCTATGTTAACCAGTTTGACGTAAGTATTTCAAATTGTATATAAAACCAGCACATTGTACCCCATGAATGTATTAATGGACACAGCTACGATTTAATTAAGGAAAAAAAACACAAAAATAGCCAACTGTATTTCTTTCTGGAGGCTTCGTTTGGCATGTCTGACATCTTATTGCTGACATTTCCTAACCAAATTATCTGAAATTAGGTGTTGCTTTTCTTTTGCAGAAAACAGAAAAGGACAATAGTGTATTATTTAACATAAATGACAACACAGGGAGCATGAAAGTATCGGTGCTTGGAAAACAGAAGGACACAAACTTTGAGGAAGGGGATAAACTTCAACTTACCTTCTTTGAGCTGTCAAGAAGTAGAGGCAAACTACAGCTGAAATCTGGAATTCATAGCCACATAAAGGTGAGAACTGCATGGACACCTCTCCAGGGTGCTGGTATTTTGTGTTTACTGTCAGGAGGCTGGACTGGTGCTAACGAACAGGGTATGGGATGGAAGACCCCGTCATCCAGTGCACTAATCTCACTGAGGGACCTCCCTTTGGGAAACACGTTAAGAGAACACTGACTTCACGAGGGAGAGCCACACATGGTAGTGCCCACAGCATGACGCAGTCCCTTGGTAACACTGCAGGGCTAAGCAGACAGCTTGCCCAGGGTTGGGTGGATCATTCTGACTAGTGTATATAAAGCAGACACAGACCATGAACACTCTGAGGACACATTTTCTGGAGTCAATCTGAGCATCCCTGCAGCAACCCTCATGCAGGGCAACTAAGTCAGTGTAACCCTCTCCTCCTGTGGCTCTGCCACACCATCATTCCCATCCTCATGTCACACGGCATGACTCGCAGTGCCTGCCATCTCCCTTTGTGGGCGTGGAGGCAAAGACCTGAGAAGTCTGCCTGAGTGCCCTTGTGAAGTAGAAGAGTGTATTTCTACTCACAGGCAAGGTACTAACTTCAGGACAGTGATCTAAGAGGGAACAATGTGTTGGAGGGTGGGAAGGAGATAATTTCATGAGAAGTTGAAAAGACACATTTCTGAAGAACAAAATCACTACAAGAAAAAGACAGGTCTCTGACTTTTTACTTTTTCTCTTTCTAGGTTATTAAAACCAAAAAGAAATGAAAAGGACCAATTCAGGTCAAATGGTCTAACAACATTTATTCAAGAATACGTGATCCAGCCTCTTCCACCAGCTCATGAGGGAGCTGAGAGCAGCAGTTCACAGGCTCTTCCCCCGCAAAAATAGGATTACAAGGGGATAATTCCTGGGTAAACAACTCCAAAATTATCAACATATCATCACAATAAAAGTTAATTTCTCATTCATTACAGCCTTACGGTCTGGTTTAGTTTGCCAATCCCTGGTCTCAAGCTGACAGACTAGTGATGTATTGGGTGTTGATGGCATATTTGAAAGTAAATGTATCTGAGACGTGGGGAAGATGGCAGATTAGAAGCTGCCTACACCTGTACCACTCTTAAGGCGAGGATTGGAAGTTGCAGGCAGATTCCTACCTACGGATGGCTCTTCTTGGAAAGAACATTGCAAAACTCTGGGGCAGTGAGACAGAACCTGCAGAGTAAAGGAGAAGGTAATGAGGTGATTCGTTCAGCAAGGTTGAGGTTATGTGTGGGGAGGCATCCACCATGGGGAGGGTCAGAACATAGAGCCCTGGGGCTCCACTCTCACCTCTCAGGCATCTCGGCCCCAGCTGTGGGGGGCTCCCTCTCCCACCTTAGACCTCTGGGCTGATCAGGGAGCTTCTCAGGGTCTGTGCAGAAATATAGCAGAAAGGAAGCACAGCAGGGATCTGGTGGCTGCTGATGACAGATTCTGCAAGGGACATGATCCTGAGCCTTTAATGTTCTACAAAAGCACAAGTATAATTCAAGAGAGAAAGAATAATTGTTCAAAACTTAACATGAGAACAAAATACAGCTGCTCTATGCCTCATTTTTTATACAAAAATTAACTCAAAACTGATCATCAGCTTAAATGTAAAAATATACAACTATAAAGCTTCTAGAAGAAAAAAACAGGCAAAAATTTTTGTGACTGTGTTCTGGGAAAAGATTATTAGGTATGACACCAAAAGCAAAAACTATGCAAGATAAATTTTTAAGAATTTGAACTTCATCAAAATGAGTAACTTCTTTTCAAGAGATACTGTTCAGAGCATTGAAAGTCAAGCCCTAGATTTGGGCTTAATATTTTCTAGTGACATAGCTGCTGAAGGTCCTATATCCATAATTTATAAAGAACTGTCAAAATACAATAATAGGACAGTGACTAAATTTTTTAAATAGCTAAAAAATGATACATGAGTAGCATGTAAGCACAGAAAAATATACTACTGAATGTACTTCATCTTTAGGAAAATAAAAATGAAACCTACAATGAGATACCACTAGACACGTGTTAGAATGGCTGAAATTAAAACTGACCATACCAAGTGCTGACAAAGATGTAGAGAAACTGGAACTATCACACAATGCTGGGGGGAATATAAAATGGTAAAACCACTTTGCAAAAGAGTGTGGCAAATTTGAAAAGGCTAATATACACCTATACTGCTAAGTTCTGAGGATGACGCAGAGCAACTAGAATTCTCATTGTTTGATGGGAATTGAGTATCTTACAGTAGTCACTTCAGAAGGGAGTTTGGCAGTTCTTACAAGTTTAAACATACACTTATCTGTCCCAGCAATCTCGCTTGTAATTTTATTTTATTTTTTTTAGTTTGGAATGGTAATGTTTGTTTACACAAAAATCTGCATGTGAATACTTGTGAAAGTTCAATTATGTAATGTAATTATATGCAATTAAGCAACCCAGTGTTCCTCATCTGAAGAATTAATAAACAAATTTTGACAGACCCACACAATTAACCTATACTCCACAATAAAAAAGAATAAACTGCTGATACATAGAACTACATAGATGAATCTTAAATGTAGATAGGAAGTAAGGGAAACCAGACTCAAGATTCTATGTACAGTTTGATTGCTTTTCTTTTCTTTCTTTTCTTGTCTTTTTTTTTTGCTGGGGATTCATTGAGGGTACAAGAAACCAGGTTACACTGATTGCATTTGTTCGGTAAAGTCCCTCTTACAATTGTTTTTTTTTTGGAGACAGAGCCTCAAGCTGTCACCCTGGGCAGAGTGCTGTAACATGACAGCTCACAGCAACCTCCAACTCCTAGGCTTAAGCGATTCTCTTGCCTTCGCCTCCTAAGTAGCTGGCACTACAGGTGTCAACAATGCCTGGCTATTTTTCGGTTGTAATGGTCATTGTTTGGCAGGCCTGGGCTGGATTCGAACCCACCAGCTCTGGTGTATGTAGCTGGCACCTTAGCCACTTGAGCTATGATTTTCTGGAAAAGGCAAAAGTGTAGACAAATAGTAGATTTGCACTGGAGTTGGAGGAAAATCCAACAACAAAGTAGAATAGAGCAGGAAATTTCTTTCGTGATGAAACTATTCTATATCTTGATTTTGGTAGCAATTGCATGATTGTATACATTTGTAAACACTCACAGAAATTTCCATTAATAAACATAAATTTTACCATATTCATATATATACATATATACACACACAGATATATTCACATACATATGTATATATTTTAAAGTCTCACTCTGTCACCCAGGCTAGGCTACTATGGTGTCAGCCCAGCTCACAGCAATCTCACACTTCTGGGTTCAAGGAATTTTCCTGCCTCAGCCTCCCAAGTAGCTGGGACTACAGGAGCCTGCCACCACAGCGGCTAGTTTTTCTATTTTTAGTAGAGACGGGGTCTCATTCTCATTCAGGCTGGTCTTGAAGTATTGAGCATAAGGGATCCTCCCAACTAGGCCTCCCAGAGAGCTAAAATTATAGATGTGAACCATGGTGCATGGTACTATATGCATGTTTTACCATAAGAAACATGAAAAATGTACATCCAGTTCGAAGATGGAGTTATGGGTGTTTTTAATATGCTGTTATTTTACTTCTCTGTAATATGTGCCTATAGCTTTTATAATAAATAAAAAAGATGAATATCTTTAGATAGCCCCCCACCTAAAAAAGATCAGGGATTTTCAAATAATGGATACTTCTTATCCATTAGGTTAATAATATCTGGGGTTTGTGAGTGTGACAATGACACAATTAAGAAAACGTTCCCAGAAGTATTTTTTGGGATCTGAATTTGGCATTACCAAAAATCCTCTTTGTATTCTTTGACACAGACACTCTACTTAGAGGTACTTAATGCCTTTTTGTCTTATCTTAAAATTAAAAGCCTTGGACTTTCACAATTATGACTTCCCCATTCTGTCCCTCACAGCTTCCACTTTACCCATACCCCTCCCCCGACATATGCACCCGTTCCTAAATCAATCTCTGTGTCATTAGGAAAGTGACTGTTCCTTTCTTTTCCTTGTTTTTCACTTCTTATGGGTGGAGAAAGAAGGAAAATTATTAACTTTCTAAAACTAACATGAAGACTAAGCAACACAAATGTTGCTATTGCATACAGAATACCAGAGCAATAAATAACTACATTTCAGTTTCAGATATCTACTGAATGGCAGACCATTCCACTCTAAAAAATTAAGTCTTCAGTGTTTGCCTGATGCAGGTCTGCCTTGGAGCAGAACCGGGAAATATGGCTGGAGGGCTAATGAAGAGCTGCTGTACTTGTGGAAATGCATGAAATCAGTTATTTGACATCAGACAGGGCCAGAAACTGTAATATATTCTAGTGCTTTCTTGCAAGCCACCAAGAAATCTCATTTAGCAAATAAATTCTCAATTATGTCCCCTCCAGGAGACCATTCTGAAAAGATGCCCACTGCTCTGGGCTAGAGCAACTCCTTCCCAAGTCACAGGGCTTGGCAGTTAAAGCCCAGGCTGAACATTATCCCTCTCTGCCCTTTCTGTGGGGAGGACACGGCTGGTTCATTATTGACCAGGACCTAATCCTGTAAGGTCATATCCAAAATTTAAGTCCAAACACTGTTTGAGGCCCTCATGACCCATCTTGATTCACAAGGCACAAACTCTTTGGTTTTAAGTAACTCACAAAGAGACTTCTTTTGAAATATTTCATTAGAAAATGTGATGATATTTATTTCTTTTTTCAAATTATAAGACTTATAGATGCAAAGTATAGCTTTTAAAAAATAATAAAACTTATAAAAGCACCCCTAACACTCATACCCAAGAATTAAAGCTAGTATATATACACACACACACACACACACACACATATATAAAATGGTATCTACAGTGTTGTATTTCACCCAGGTACATTTATCTTTTCTTGCACTTAGAAATTGTATCCATAAACATCATTATCCATAACATCCAGGTTTTGGAAGACGTCTAATCAAGTTTCCATGTCTGAATCAGGACCGAGTATTGTCCTGGTCTTGATGACCTTGCAGAAGAAAGAGAGAAAGATAAATCAGTTGAAAAGCAGATGGTCATTCAGTGATTCCTTCACCCACACTGTCTCCTCTCAGTCAGCCATAGCTCTTCTTCTGTTCCCCTCTTACGATTCTCTCCTTATTCTCACCCTCCTCCTTTGATAAGTTCTTGTCATTTGAGTCATGCCTCTCTCCTCTTGCTAGAGACCATGAAATGAGGTGTCCACTACTACCTAGCATGAGCACACGGGGAAGAGCAGGAGACAGCAGGGAATAACAGGAAAGAAGGAAGAGCTCATGTAACCAATGCAAGAGTTTAGGGGAAGGTTCTCATTGGCAGAAAGGTAGGAGGAGGCTACAAAAGATATTCCTGGAGCAACTGCTGTAGAGGAAGGTTTGAACACTTGACCAACGGTGTCCTGAACTAAAGGGATCTGAGAAAATTGTACGTCTGTGTGCTTGAATGTGTCAGTTTTTGTTTTGAGCTGTTTGCATTCCAGCAGTAGCCTTTGTTAATGTTCCAAGAACCCCACATGAATGTATGTGCCAGTGTGACAAAGAACGTGCACTTTGTTGTGTAGATCCAACCACCTCTGTCTGTTGTAGACTAGTGTATGAATATCACTAAAGGCGGGTATATGGTGTTCCGCTTTGCTCAGGGACATCTTCAGTGACTAAAGTCTGTTATGAGCTGTCTTGATAACCCTCTGTGAGAGAGAATTTTCTCCCATTTTATAGATGATGAGCTTAAACGTTCCCAGTGTTAAGCTTTTAGTCAACTAGAAAATTGCAGAGAGCCAGGAGTTGAAATAAACGTGCCTGAATCCAACCCAAAACTTAACTAAATTGTCTTCCTGTTTTAACAAAGTCAATCTGTTCTTCATTGTTTAGCTTAGGTATATTTTTGAGCATCTGTCTACATTTTCTTTTTTTACTATGTTTAAAACTATCCTTCTTTCAAAAACATGGTGGAAAGAATGACAGCTTTTACACACTACATACAGTACAAGGCTTAGTTCTCTTTCCATCTGCTGGGCTTTCTATATAATAGTCACAGCCAACGGTGTCCTACCTTTAGGCTTCTCTAAGCTACAACGGAAGGAGAGTTGTCTTGGGCCACATGTTAAATACACAAACACTAAGGAAAGCCGATAAGCAAACAAAAAAGTCCGTGCATAATTTTCGTGATAGCCACCACCCCAGTTAAGCAAAAAAGTTCTTACATAATCCACATGCGAACCACAGGCCACAGGTTGGACACCCCTGGCGCTGCAAACAAAATAATTTGATGCTTTGGAAGAATCATGTTTCTACGCACTCACCTTCATGTAACTGTGAATTACAGATCTCAGCTGACACTTGCCCATACATACAGGTGCCAATTCAAAACAGATGAGCCTAAGTTTATCACCTTCCTCACAGTCGATATTGGTCAGTCGTCCATATACCACTACTTGCATCTGCCCTGTGTTATCTTTTATTTCATAATAAGTGAATTTATCCATCGCAAATTTCTGCAAAAGAGAACATCAGCTTCTGAAAACTAGATCAAAAATTTTTCACATATATGAGAAATACAGAGTGTCAATCAGAACTCTTGTCTTTGACAGAGAAAGTAGAGCTGTAGGTCAAGAATTACGGGTACCAAATTGTTTAAGATACTTGGTCAGTGAATTATGCCTTTGGAATACTCTCTTGAGCCTTCCTTGTTTAAGGTCTTTATCTACTGAATGTTTTAGCAAAAACTTTCTTAATTTTTGTTGCTTCCACATTGGTACAGCTGAGTTTTTTAAGGAGCCTGGATATAGTGGAATCTGATTACCTTAGCAAGTTTCTTTGATACTGATCCAAGAACAGAGAAGAGAGGCCATTTATGGTTCATTGTGAGTCTGGGAAACATTATTGCAAGTCCTCATAAACTACAGTGTTACTAATGTCATTCTTTATTCTATCTTCTTTATTTAGTCATTCTTGAGCAATCTGCCCAAATCTTAAATCTAGATAATCTAGTCTCCTTGTTCTCACCTACTTTATTCATTAATTCTAGAACCACATATGTATGTCATTTCAACAGAATGTACAGAAAACATCATGGGTGAAAGCAAAACATTCTAGAAGACATATAGGATGGAGTATGGAACAATACTATAATTGAGAAGTTAGGTCAGCATTTACTTAATGAAAGACATACTGTAAATCTAAGAATTCACCAAACTTCTTTCCACTGTATTGTCCCTATTTATAAATTAAGAGATTAAACTATAAGATTTCTCTAGGCTTTTTACTTTAATGTTTTTCCCATTATTTAAAGTAGAAGTAAATTTTTCAACAATCTTCTAACGAATGAAAGAATGGGAAGGGGGGAGGGCACTCTGGAGTCCAGAGGGCCAGAACCCTAGCTGCATTCTAGAGCAGAGTGGTCTATTTGATTTCTTACTCTGGCCGTAATAGCCAAGATACAGGCTTGGAAGGGCAACTGTTGATTCATATTTAAACTAAGTTGTCATTGATAGATATGGGGAAGAACTCAGAGAAACTAATCTGAAGGACATGTGCATTGATATGAACTCTGCTCTGTCCTGGATCAGAGTGGCTGTGAATGTGTCATCACAGCTGATAAAATGTCATGGTTTCTGGTGAATCTCTTAAGGAAGAACTTGCATGGAGATACCTTGAGTAAGGGAAGGTTAAGAGATTATGTGTCCCATATCCTGAACAGGAAAGACTCTACCCAGCCATTTGTGGTCAGGGAGGTGCCTTGACTTCCTGTGTTCAGTAAGTTGACCAACCTCCAGTTGAGAAATTAAGACCTTTTTAAAATGTGGGGTTGCAAAATAAATTTCATCAAAAAAATTCTGTGGGCTTACCTTATTGACCAGGAACACCCCATTCACAAACTTCCCTTCAGTTTGTGAGTGAAGGTGGCTGATTTTGGGAGTTCTATTAGCTTGGATCATCAGGCTTCTTGGGATCTCCATCGTTCTATGAGCATCCAACTTCAACACGGAGGTATTGAAAGCGTATACCTCCAGAAACTCATTTCGGACAACATAATTTGATATGGCAATGATACTCTTTGGAGTGAATATCTTTTTTAAGGTGACGTTAAAAACCTTTACTCGGAAAACTTTGCTCTCAGTAGCCGCTGTGGCATGAAACATCATTTTCTCCTCGGTGACTTCATACACAAACAGTTCTGTTACTTTCAGCACCATCACTTCTATGGGTCCCTTGTGGTAACCTTCTGTGAAAGCTTCTTCAGACACAGCCCTTGGGCTTGACGTCTAGCAAAACACAGACACAATTAAGACAGGCAATAGGGGGTCACTTCTAGTGAGGGCCATCACATTACCATTATCTACATTTTTACATGTTCTTCACTTAAGATTGGAGAATGTTTCTAAAATCACAGACCTTCACTACATTTAATGATGTCAGTGAAAGCCCATAAAATACTGATCACATTTGGCCAATGGGGCACGGTTTCTTACCAGTTTTGAGATTTTAGATTTTTCCTTAATCTAACTCTTTAAGTGTCGATTTTTTTTTGTTTTTGGTCGGGTTTGAACCTGCCATCTCCGGTATATGGGGCCAGTGCCCTATTCCTTTGAGCCACTGGTGCTGCCCAAGTGTTGGCTACTGACAGAGAAGTATATGAGAGAACTGCTTGAAACACCCCACCTGGAGTATGGCTTCTGAATAGAACTGTCTTTAACTATGCCAAAACACCTGGGCTAGGGAAATGATGCCCAAAACATAGCACTATGGATACTCAAAATTGCTTAAAAATGAATCACAGTTGTTTTAACCTGTGTACACTTTAATGCATATACAATCTATGCCCACTAGATGTTGAGGTTTTGATTTCCATAAAGTCAAATTTGAATCCTGACTTTAATACTACCTGTCTGACCCTGGGGAAGACTTTGTTCTCTAAATAGGACTTGTTTTGTCCTGTAGAAAGGGGATAAGCAGTGGCATCCTCACATGGCGTTATAAAGAATAAGTGACATCATGTATGTGAAGGACAAAGGTTTTAGAGTCTAGAACTCAGTAACACTCAATATATGCAAATATCTTACTTGCCAGTATTTACCCGCAGTCTACTGGGGCTTTGTATATCTGCTCCAAAGAACAGACATTTCATGGTCAGTGCTGACTGTGTGGATGAAAACCTTGTATGGAGGCAAAATGCAAAGTACACTTAGTAAGAGAAGCCCTTAAATTCCAGCTGCCATGTAGGGTATGGAAATTTCATTGCCGAGACTGTGTCAAGCTATTGTCTTTTCAAAATGATATAAATCTTAAAAGTGCCATCACAGTAGCAGGGTTTGTAGGCTGAAATTATGATCTTTACTTGTATAATATTTTATAAATGTAGGTGGTATTTTCCTTCAGAGTAAATTCCCCACTACCATAGCCTGTCTATGCATGAATCATATCATTCCATGTTGTTTATTTCAGGGACCATTAATAACATAAACTAAAGGTAATATTCTGTTTATGGCTTAGGATTGAAAAATCAAAAATAATGCTGGTACAGAGGAAATAATTGGGAAAAACTGTGATAAATAAGAGTAAGGATTTCCTGCTTATGTGGTGAATCAAACAAAATGGTCAGACACCATTTTTGCAGGTGCCTGTGAAGACAGCTGGACCCTCCAGAGAAGAAAATGACTGACATGTGTGTTTGGGCAGATGAGCCTGCCCTGGACCCCGTGCTCTCGGGAGATTTCAGAGCAGCTGAATGATTCCTATGGAAGCAGAATTGTGTTGCCTATGGCAGCTAAAGTCTTAGGAAGTGTCACTTCCAAACCAACATGTATGGAACAATTAAAATGGAATTGAAATGTCCATGCATGTTATTCTATCAGCAGACAGACGGAGGGACTGATGTTTCAAAGACCACTCAAGGGCTCTACTTGTAGACAACAGTCCCAAGATGGCAACAGGTACAGGTAACTAGTTCTGCCCGCCCCAAACCAGGAGAGATTATAGGGGGAAATGCAGATTTTTTTGAACTAACAAAACAAAACCTATAACTGACAAAATCTATTATGTAAGAAGCCTGTTCTCAATTGGTGTGTGTGGGATGGTGCTGGGGCCTGCAGCCTGGGTCTGTGTGCAGCGTGGGCCTTTGGGAAAATCTAGATAACAGTGGGGACAAAACGCTCCCCTTGCCTTTCTCTGTAGATGCTGCCCCACTCACTGCAGACAACCATCTTCCGGGCCACGGGTGGAAGTGACAATCCTGGTTACGTCATGGCAGAACAAAAGCAGTGTTCGGAAACATTGGCATGATGTGCTCTATTGCAGGAAGTTTTTTCAGTGAGGTCTTTTTCTGAAGAAGAGATTTTACTTGGCCCAGAAATCCATCAGGGCCAATGAAGAGATGAGAGTAAGGGATTCTGAACAAAGGAAGTACCACATGTCAAAGCAGCTGATATGGGAAAGAGAAGGACTTTTGGACAACTACCCTAACGGAGGGTCATTATCATAGTGGAAAGTTATGAAAGAAAACTGTAATGTAAGCAATGAACATACGTTATATTCATTTGCCCTTCTACTCTCTTAACGCTTGGGCCAACAATAGACAACAACGTTTCTGAAGACTGAAATGACACCATGAATACATATCTTTTGAGTAATGAAGAATGTGAAATCCAGCGACACGTCCAATTACATATTGATAAATGATGAAACTTACACAGTAAGATAATGAAACCATGTTTAGTCAAAGAGTAAAGGAGAATCTCTTTCAAAACTCTGATCAACCCTTATGTTTGAGGGAGGCAAGAGCAGAGGAAACAAGAGATACCTGGCCGGGGTTAGACGGGGTGTGTTGATATGTCCCATGAGTGTGAGGATTGCCCACAGGTAGTGCGCCAGCTCTGGAGACTGCAGAGGACATCCCTGTTCCTGAGGCAGCTCCTTCCTTCTGGAGGAACAGATTTGAAAGATTTAATATTTTCTTTTATGATAGAAATTATTTTTTCTGCGTTTTTCTACATTTCGAGTTGAATGTGGTATATGAGTTTTTTCCTTTAAAAAATGTTTTTTTAACAGGATCTTCCCTCTGCTAATTTCCCTGGATACTGGCATTAATTTAGCTTCCTCCATCCACATTTCAGCAGACACAGGAACCAGCAATATAGTCTTTGGCTGGGAAAGGTTGAAACACAGATGATTGAAATTTCATTTATCTTAGATTCCTGGCTCAGCCTGTGTTAGCAACTGATGTGACCCAGCATGGTCAAGCACTCGTCTTGGGCTTATTTCTGGATGGATAAGCCTCCTTGGTGATAAGGGTAGCAAATGTCAGCATAAAGACAGGTGAGCTGCTGTATATACGAGGCAACCAGAATTCTTTTAGGAGTTATAGTCACAATGACAGGTGTTCTAGGCCCACCTGGGGAATTATCAGTACCTGGCATTTCATGCCTTATAAAAAGGAGGACAAAGAGTGTCTGTAAAATCATATATTTTGACAACCACGAATCGCAACAGCGAAAGCTCATATCCTACAGTTTACATTGATGTCAATCTGCCATAGTTTTTCTCCCTTCTGAGTTTGAGTACCATAACTGTTTTGTCTCATCTGCTGAAAAAGTGGTGGGTGAGCAGGGCTGGAGGAGCCTGCAGCTACCCCAGGCTCCCTGTTTGGTGCAGTCTCCGACCTTTCTTCTGCCTCTCCTATCAACAATGTTTTTCCATTTAAGTATTTCCAATTATTATGTTTTGAATGTTCGTTTTGATTTTCTCTTGTGTAGAAATGCCTACTTACATTATTCTCATTTCTATTTGGTATCTAGAAATCCTTAATATGTTACCTTTTTATTTATTTTTTTCCTTTTTTTTTTTTGTTTTGAGATAAAAGTCTCACTCTGTCACCCTGGGTAGAGTGCAGTGGCATCGGACCTCACAGTAACCTCAAACTCTTTGGTTTATGTGATCCTCTTGCCTCTGCCTCCCAAGTAGCTGGGCCTACAGGCGGCTGCCACAACGCCCAGCCAGTCTTTCTTTCTTTCTTTCTTTTTAAATTAAATCATAGCCGTGTACATTAATGCAATCATGGGGTACAATGTGCAGTTTTATATACAATTTGAAATACTGGTTAACACAGCCTTCACCGCATTTTCTTAGTTATTGTGTTAAGACATTTATATTCTACACTTAGTCGATTTAACACGTACCCTTGTAAGATGGACCATAGGTGTGGTCCCACCGATTACCCTCCCTCCACTCATCCCCCATCACCTCCCCTCCCTCGCCCCTTTTGTGTCTCACTTTGCTCAAGCTGGTCTCGAACTCCTGAACTCAAGCAATCTACCCACCTTGGCCTCCCTGAGTGCTAAAATTATAGGTGTAAGACACTGCACCGGCCCCTTTTATTTTTATTTTTTTCAGTATTTTCAACATCAGTTAAAATATACACTTCCAACACCGCAGGTGAATTTACATGTCAAAAATATTATCTTGGATTAGATAACTTTTTTTGGTGGAGCTGAAACGCTAGGTCGCTGGCGTAGGCCCATGAAACTGCCAGGCTGCGGATCGCTGTAGAAGCTCGCAGAGGGTATAGTTCCCCATAGGTGCCGGAAAGCCCGTTGTCTCAGTCAGGTAAGGCTCCCCATCAGGAGGAGCCAGTTGTCTCAGTCAGGTCAGAGGTGGCAGAGCCTCTCAAAGGGGCAGCAGTCAGTCTTAGTAGAAGCCCCAACTAACTTCCCCCGTGGCTATTTATAGAAGTGATCCCGCCTCTATTTACACCACTGGTGTGGAGACTGCCAATCAGTGATGTATGTATTCGGATGCTCTCCTGTTTTCTAAGGAGAGACCAATCCCTTCCCCATTCCTTTATTACCGAGGGGTTTCTTTTCAGGTATCTCCTATATTTTTTTCTTTGATTTTTTTTTTTTTAAATCTCATTAGATTTAGGAATAGAAATCGTTCTTTGGTACACAGTGGTAAAGTCAGGGCTTTTAGTGTACACATCACCAGGAAAGGATGGCTTTTCAAAATCATTACTTGTGTTTTTCCCTTTATAAGAATGCCTCTCCTAGCATTACCCCTGTTCATTATACATGACGACCTATGTGCTGTTCTTGTTAAGACAGACAAGGCAGGAGACATCACAGGTAATAGTAGTCTGCTTCTGGTTCTGGATCCAAGATTAAAGTACCATATCACAGATAACATCTTTGAGGAAACCTATGATGAGTAAGGGCAAGGTCTTTGTGAGAAGACAGTAAATCATCATGAGACGTCACCCACTTGACAGGCAACTTAGGGAAGTGCCTGGGCAATAAAGGACAAGTGGCTGGGCTGTGTGGCATGCTGAAGTGCATAAGTCACAGGGACATTGGCCCCTCCCTAGGATTTTCATGCTTACCAGGGGATTAAGTGCAGCTAACTAATCCCTATTACTACAGAAGTATCTGTGTCCCAAGCTTAGACAGGGGCTTACTGAGCACGCATCACATCTCATCTTCCACTTCAGTCTTCTGAGAATGCACAGTGTGTTCACTTATCTCTTTGAAGTAGCAGAGAAAAAACGGACCTGAGCTGCTAATGATTTGGCAGAGACTCTATCCACAGTTACTTGGGCCAAGATGACAAATTTGTACTGCCTGCCAGCTGATCCAGTTGATTAAATCTGTACAGACCATGGTAGGAAATATGTAACAACAATTAACAAGAAAAACAAAAACTCCCACAAAAATCCAAGCACATACTGAGAGCCTGTGTAAAATGTAAGCCTGTTTGCAGCTGGCAGGTGGAGGGGAGGTGTCCAGGCTGAAGGCTGGTCCAGCATGCAGCTTGGGGGGCTTGGGTGGGAACCTACACAAGAGAACGGTGACTTAACGCTCCTCTTGCCATTCTATCAATTGACTTCCTGCTCACTGCAGACACAGGGCTTCTGCTCCCAGGGGCCAGTGACTGCACAGGCCACGTGTGGGAATGTAAATGCACTCTGGGATAGGATGTGACGCACAGATGTGAACTTATTCATACAACACTGTCTTCTGCTCCATGGACAGGATATCCATGATCTCAACTCACTTGTAGGATTGGAAATGTACTATAATTACTTAGAGTCATGATAAATATTATAAAGGAAATAAAGGGGCATGAGAAGGACAGAAAGGGACGACCTATTTTATTCTCAGAGGCGAGTGTCAGAGCTTCTTTCTTGAAGACAGGTTTCTGTAGGGCAGGAAATATGGAAGGACCAGGGAAGAGACAGACCAAGGAAGTACCATACAGGAAACACCCTGTGTGGGGAAAAGCAAGAATTTTGAAAATAAGACTTGAAGTATGTTTAGAAAGCAATGGCGAAGCTGTGAACAAACACTTCCATGTGAGCAAAGAACACACTCTTGTACTGCTCTCTCCATCTTCGCCTAGTTTCCAAGTCTTTCTTGACAACTGGACCACAAATCAAAATGACATCTTTAGGTGAAGAATGATTTCATCAGCATATTCCTTATCCATAGTAAAAACCAGACAACCTACTAGCATTTCTACAGAAAAATGAAAGCATACAGCCAGAGATTATTTGAGAAACTGTCAAGATTCTGATTATCCCTTTAATTATGCTAAAGGGAGATGCCAAAAATTGCAACAGGTAGGTAGTACCTTAGTTAACAAACCTCCACTATATGGGTGGTTATGGGCAGAGGAAAGAATAATTCTATTTTTGGAGAGTGGCTTCCTTATTAGAACAACCTCTGATCACCCCTGGGCACCTCTTTCCTTTCGAGAAGGCTTGCAGAACCTGGGAAACGCAAACAAACCCCAAATGGGGGGCTCTCTATTCTGAAATGTCCATGAATAAATTACTGCCATTGGTATGTCTAAACTCCTAATCTAAAGCCACACAACAAGCATTGATTTTATAAGCTTTAGATCTCACTGAGGCTGGCTATGAATCCTGACTATAACACGAATTTTGAGAAGTTGGGAAGATTTTAAACCTCTGCGCATGTCAAAATTATTTTATATGAGTTGGAATAGAAAAATAGCATCTTCTTGACTATTGTCAAGAATGAATAAGAAAATGTATATAAGGAACACATATTTTAGAACAGACACCTAATAGGTGCCTGATACGTAGAAATATATTCTCACCAAAGTATATTATTGACAAAAAGTAGAACTACAGTAGCTGTCATTGCTGTTCACTGTTTTATGTGGAGACTTGCAGATTAGCTCCTGCCCACACACAGAATCCTGCGCTGTGCTGACTGTTAAGGGAAACTCCTGATCAAAGCAGTATGGGAGGCACCTTTTAAAATAAGCCTCTCTATTCATGTCTGTGAAATGAGTAGTTTAATCTCACTGACCAGAGGACCTCTAAAAGGAAACGATCAGAGACCTCATCATTTCTGTAGTCTTGCGCCAGTGAAAGTTTGCCAGGGGAAAAACTCTAATTTGGCACCTGCAACATAAGGAGATTTTTGCTGATGACGATACGAGGGGCATGGATTTCCAACAAGGAAATAATGTACGTAAAGATATGGAATGTGGGAAGGAATTTGGAAGGTGAAAGATAAAGCCAGAAGTATTACCTGTAAACAACGGGGAAGGGGTGAAGGAAACTGGAATGAAGCGTCTCCACCACTCTCATCTTCATCTACACTTTTCAAAGCCCTCTCCCTCCCCCTCTGTACTGTCGCACCTACATGAAATAGGAACCCTCCTAAGGTCAGCAAGCATTTATCTCATACATGCACACCTTTAAATAGCAAAGGATTATGAGCTGGTAAGATTCCAATGTATGCATTCAATGAATGTATCAGTGAATTAATTTCATAAAGAGATTGCACACAATGAGGGATGAGAGGAGACCTCTCTCAACATTCTGATGATCCGATTTATGACTGGAAGACATGAGGAATGGGACGGAGGAGATTGTACCTTCATGCAGAAACTGCTGGTTGAGGCTTTTGGAGGCATCGGAAAAGTCATGAGATGGCTCTGAATTGGGGGTGTGCCGCCCTCAGGATGCTGTGGAATCTCACTCCGCTCCTCAGGTTGACTCGTGGTCGCGGCACCATTATTCTTCTGGTTTGGTGTTTTTTTCTTTACCTGAAAGTATTCATCGTTCTGTTAAGTGGATGTCAATATCAGAAAAAGCACGATATACTTTTTTTCATTTCTTAGAATATCCTTTATAATGGCATAAATGTATTCATGATCTATGTACAAATGACTTAATAAAAAAAAAAGAATATCCTTTATTAGGTTCTAATTGACTTTAATTACCTATAAACATAGCATGTCTCTAATGTATTCCTGGAGGCTATAGGCAAAATTTTTTTTGCTAACATGTAAAATGAATAGGCCTTCTTCTGCATACAATTGTTCAATTATTTACTTATGGGTTTTCCTTTTTACAATGAAAAATCCATTTCTATCTTTACGACAAAGGGCATCTGAACAGAATGAATGAACGTTCTATTCCTAGAACGAATAAAGATTCGTTGTTATCAGTCTACTACCACTTTCTTATTCCCATCAACATATACAGGGTATCACAATGGTATAATTTATAGACTGTTTTACAGTTTTGAAAGACTTCTGGTCCAAAGTCTTTCTAATATTTGTGTTTACCTTGCTAAGAAAAATAGTACCTACTATATATTGATTTCTCATAATGTACAAGGAACTAAGATAAGAAATATACGTCCATAATCTCATTAATTTTCTGATCAATTTGATGAGATATATTTAAGCTATTTTTCCAAGATCATGGAATAAATGAGCCAGATAAAGACTAATTCTCCTATACTCCAAAACCCTTGCTTTTGACCAATACATGAAATTAGTGCTATGCCCTCCTAATTTTTCAAATACTTTAGCATTTAGCAAAGAATTGAAATCCTGTTGAACCCTATAATAAATGTCATTATCTTAATATACTGGAATAAGTTTCCCTCTTCAACAGGACTGTGAGGTTCTCTCATTCCTTCTGTTTGGCTCTGTGGATATATATTTTATTTATTTATTTATTTATTTATTTATTAGATATTTATTTATTTCATTTTTGGCTGGGGCTGGAATTGAACCCACCATCTCTGGCATATGGGACCAGCGCCCTACCCTTTGAAGCCACAGGTGCTGCCCTTGCTCTATGGATATAAAGAAGGCATCTGGTTTTTGATACACGTGAATCATTTTGTTCTTTGGAAAAAGAAATATTTCCCTATTAAGTTCTCACCTGAATGAAACTATGCGTTTCAGAAATCAGTTTTGACGTTTCATTCCTTTTTCTCAGTTGAAAGCAAAAGAGCTGAAGCTTATCCCCTTCCTCACAGGGGATATTGTGACATTTTCCTTTCCCCACTACTTCCATGCTTCCTGTGTCATCCTTAATTTCATAGATTGTGTTGTCCTTATTTAATGTTTTCTGCAACAGAAAATAAATATGCAATTCCTGAGGACATATTTAACGTCCACCACACAGATGAGACATTCCCCTGTGAGGAGTCTCAGGACAGCAAGTGCTAGCACTATACAGATATACAGATGTGCATGGGCCTTCTGCCAGGTTTTCTCAGCAGGCTCTTCCTTATTACATTTTTTAAGTCTTTCATGTTCCAGGTATTTCTCTGACAGTTATAGAATAATGAGTTATCTTCCTATGTTCACTATTTCCTCTCCAGGATAGCTGTGTTTCCCCAGCACCTCTGTACAGAGGAATCTGCAATCCTCGGCAGGCTTTTTTGCCCTTTGCCTCTATGCAGAAAGGATGGCCATCTGCTACCACTATTTATTCAGTATGATTTCAGAGATCTGTAATGAAAAGAAGGCTTCTAATAACTCCCAAATTACTTTTTCTACCTTTTCCAGTTATTGAGTCCTTCCAATAAACATCTGCTTCTGAGCTCAGGTACTTGAGCTCAAACTTTACAATTTCTTGGCCACCAAGGATATTACTCATCAATTCTAGAATTGTGTTCATAACTACGATCACTTTAAGAGTGTGTACTGAAAATAATGTAGGTAAGATAAGGGATCGTTCTACAAAACAAATATACTATGTTGTGAGATATTGACCGTATGAGAAATTACATGAATCAATAGGGCATAGATGGTTTGGGGCGGGAGGGGGGGGTTTGAATGACTCATGGTAATTAGTTCCATGAAACTGTCTAACATAGTAGGAAAACCACTCTGCTCTTTTTTTTTTTAAACTGACATATCTAAATGAAGCATTTAGATTACCTGACCTTCGATGTATCATCAAATTTATATTTCTCGGTTGTTCAATTTATTTTATAGATGGACGAGTTTCGTTTGTTTAGAACATTGTCCTAACTCGTGCTTGCCTTTGTGTCCCAAACTTGATCAGTTAATTCATTTCTTGCTCTGACTTAAATGCCAGAACGCCAACCTCGAAGGGCAATACTTCGATTGAAATGAAAATAGAGAGATTATTCTTACAGTTGAGGTAACAATCAGAAATATAAGTTTAGTGTCTGCGTATGAATCTAGACCCAACAACGTCTCTAATTACTGGAGCTTAGAACATATCATCAGAACTGATGAAGCCTCAGGGTTTCGAGAGAACATTTTTCTAAAATCTGCAGGGTAAGACTTTGAGAAGGAAAACCTGGAAAAGAGAATACTGACAATTTCCATAATTCCCAGTCTTATCATGAGAGAAGACTTTATCCACTTGTTAATGGCCTTAAGAGAGTCCTGGGTTCGAATGTTCAGTAAATAAGTGAAACTTCATTTAGCACCACAAAGGGCTTTCGATTTCAGGTGTTGGAGGAGAACTGAAACAAAACGATTTTGAGCACTTACCTTACATAGTGTGAATAACCCGTATATGAGAGTTCCTGAAGCTTGTGTTTGAAGAACACGAATCCTCAGGGTTTCCTTTGCTTGGCTTAGTATGCTTTTGGGAACCTCAATCTTTTGGTCAGGACCAGCTTCAGACACAGAAGAGGCTTCATTTACCTCCAGGAGACGTTTATATTCCAAATAATCTGATATAGTAAGGATTTTATTTCTGGTGAATTTTTTCTTTAACTTGACATTAAAAACCTTCATATGAAAGTAATTGTTTTGTGTAGCCACGGTAGCATGAAACATTATTTTTTTCTCCTTTTCTGAGGACTCATATTCGAATGGACCTGTTGCACTCAGTACCATCACTGTCATTGGGCCCTTCTGGAGATAATTTGCTTTGGTGGCTGCTGGATCTTTGGCCTGTGGTTTTGGCTTCTGTGTATGATAGCACGGGAGAAAAAAAAGGAAATTTTTGAATGGGAAATACCGAACCACTATTCAGTGACTTCAGCATGACATTTAGAGATGTATAGAGCTGTGGCCAGGATGGAGGGTCACTGAGCAGGGCAGCAGAACAAGTCCTGAGCTGGGGTCACAGTCAGAGCAAGTGACAGAGGAGCCTTTGTGAAAAGCGGGAGAACATTTTGTGAGAGAACAATCCTTAAGAAGTAAACTGTAAGAGTAGCAGAAGAGCAGTGGATTTGGAGAGCACTGCCATGAAGAATTTTAAAGAAGTTTTAGAAAAAAAACAATACATTGTAATCTCACTCTTAACAGGTTAAAGTGTAAGAACATCAAAGTTGACAAATAAAATCAAAAGTCTGAAAATGGAAAATGGTGCCTACCCCAAAGGCACAGATATGAAGATTTATCACCAGGTAAACAGGGAATTTTGAGAGTATAACTCATAGTTCCTCTATTAAAAAGCATTTGGTACTGTTGCAGCAGGTGGGAACACATGTCCCCTGAAGCCTTTATAATACTCTAACGTTAGCAGTTGCAGAGTAGAGACACTCTGAGGACTGCCATTTCCATCACCACAGTATTTCCCAATGTCCGGGCTCTAGCTCACTATCAGAAACCTGAGATCAGGAGGATTTGTCTTTAATATCCTTTCTCTGTAACATTCTGGTCTTCTTAAATTGCAGAAGAACATTTTAAATAATGGGGAAGTTGTATATCAATAAGAAAAAGAAAAACTGATAAGAAAAATCCATAAGAAAAATTGTAAGAGGCCTGGGTGGGACTCATCCACAATCCAGCAGGCTGTGGGTGCCCTGGCCTGAGATGCCGTAAACAGTGATCACCTGTAGGTGACTGGACTTTATTGGATGGGACTTCTCATTAATATGCCCAGTTCAGCCTAACTTAGTAAAGTCCTTCCCCTAGTGCAAGTTAACCAGTTAACAGTAGACTTATAAATGAGAGAATTAGTAGTAACAGACATCTGCTACCTTGTAAGGAGTCTGAATACAGAGCACACAGGAAGGGAAGTGGACAGCTACTTAGAGAGAAATAATAAGACAATATATTATAGAATACCATTTTCAGAAAAACTGTGTATATAGTTGCACAGAAGGAAATCTGAGAGGGTATGGAAAAGACATGTAGTGTAATATTGTGCTGCAATAATATTATGCTTGATGATGTAAATTATGGTGATTTAAATCTGAATAGTTTTTATTGATTGCCTGGTTGTGAGACTTTAGTACTTTTTTCTGAAATAATCTTGTATTAAGAAAAAAATATTACAAGAAAGAAAGGACGACAAAAAGCTGGTATCCATGTTACTGAAATTATTCCATAATATCAAAAAGGAGGGAATTATCCCCAATGTAATCTTTGAAACCACTATCACACTAATACCATATCCAGGAAAGAACACAGCAAACACAGAAAACTACAGCCCGATATTCCTTATGAAAATAGAGGCAAAATTCCTCAACAACATACTAGTAAACCAACTTTTCCAGCACATTGAAAAAATACTCCACCCAGACCAAGGAGGCGTCTCCCACAATACCAGGATGGTTCAACATACTTATATCAATAAATGTGATTTGCCACATAAACAAAAGCAAAAATAAAGACTACATGGTCATCTCAATGGATGTAGAAGCATTCAACAAAATCCAGCACTATTTCAAGATAAAAATTATCAACAAACTACCCATAGAAGGAACATATATCAAGATTGTAAAAGCTATGTATAACAAAATCACTGTCAATATCATACTGAATGGGGAAAACGTTGAAAGTGTTTTCCCTAAGCACTAGAGCAAGAGAAGGATGCCCATTGTCACCACTAATATTCAAGTTAGTACTGGAAGTCCTAGTCAGAGCAATCAGGTAAGAAAAAGAAATAAAGGGTATCTAAATTGGGACGTGGAGTTCAAACTATCACTTTTCACTTGATGAGATGATCTTTTAACTAGAGGGACTCAATCAAATACTTGCAAAAAGAGAATCCTGGAATTGATAAACAAATTCAGCAAAGTCTTAGGATACAAAAATCCATGTACATAACCAGTAGCATTTTTATATAACAATTACAATTGTTTAGAAGCTGAGAGTCAAATCAAAGATTCAATGCCATTCACAATAGCTACAAAGAAATTGAAATACTTGGAATATACTTAACCAAGGAGGTGAAAGATCTCTACACGAACAACAAACCAATGGAAAAGCAAATTAAACTCATGGCTTGATAGAATCAACATTGTTAGAATGTCCACATCACCCAAAGTGATTTACAGACTCAAAGCAATCCCCAACAAGATACTATTATGTAGTATCATATTCAGAGATCTAGAAAAAACAACTCTATGCTTTATTTGAAGCAAGAAAAGAGCCTCAAGGGTCAAAGAAATCTAAAGCAAAAAGCATAAATCTAGAGGTATCACAGAACATTACCAGAGTTCAAACTATACACAAAGACATAATAACCAAACAGTGTGGTATTGGTTCAAAAAAGAGACACAGACCAATGAAAGAAAAAAAGATAACCCAGATGTAAAACCATGTCCTACATCCGACTGATCTTCAGCAAAGCAGGCAATAATGCACATTGAGGAAGAAAAGCCCTATTCAATAAAAGGTGCTGGGGAAATTAGATAGGCACATGCAGAAAAACGAAACAGGACCACTATCCCTCACCACTCACAAAAATTAATTCAAGACAGATAAAAGACTTAAATGTAAAACCTGAAACCATGAAAATTCTAGAAGAAAATATATGGAAATCTTTTATAGGTATTACTCCGAAGAATTTATGATGAAGAATCCAACAGCAATTATAGCAACAACATTAATAAATAAATGAGATTTGATTAAACTGAAAAGCTACTGCACAGTTAAAGAAATAATCAATACGGCAAATGGATAACCCATAGAATGGGAGAAAATATTTGCACACTATTTATCTGATAAAGGGCTAATATCCAGAATCCACAAGGATCTCAAACAAATCAGCAATAAAAAATTAACAATCCCATTAATAAGCAGGAAAAAGTCATGAACAGATGCCTTTACAAAGAAGATAGACAAATGGCCAATAAACCTATGAAAAAGGCTCAACATCACTAATCATCAGGGATATAAAAATAAATTAGATACACCTTACCCCAGTTAGAATGGCTTCTATTAAGAATTCCAAAAATGATAAATGCTGTTGTGGATGCAGAGAAAGGAATGCTTATGCACTGTGTAATGGGACTACAAATTAGTAAAACCTTCATGGAAAACAGTGTGGAAATTCCCCCAAGAACTAAAAGTAGACCTACTATTTGTTTCAGCAATCTGACAACTGGATATCTACTCAAAGGAATAGAAGTTATTTTATCAAAGATGTGGAATCAACCCAAGTGCCCATCAATTCATGAATGGATGAACGAAATGTGCTATATGTATACCGTGGAATACTACTTAGCCATAAAAAGGACTAATCAATGCATTTTGCAACAATTCGTATAGAACTGGAGATCGTTATCCTAAGTCAAGAATGGGAAAACAAATATCACGTATACTGTCTAATAAATTGGAATTAACTGATGGGTATGGAAGTACACAAAGGAAAGTGAAACTCAGTAGAAATCAACCAGAGAGGAAGGGGAGGAAGAGAAGGGCAAAACCCATCAAGCAGGTACAGTGAACTCTACTGAGGTGATGGGCATATTTAAAGCACTGACTCAAGCCATTTAACAGAAACATCTGTACACCTTTAATAGTTTGGGGACAGAAAACCTCATTAGTAATCAAGCAGTGGGGAGTGGGACAGAATGAAATCCCATCTAGTGGGTACGATGAACACTATTCAGGTAATGGGAATACCTACAGTTACAAATCAAACACTACAAAAGTGGTCCATGTAATAGAAACACCCGTACCCCTTTAACTCTGTGAAACTTAACATTTCTACCAAAGAACACCATGAAGGTATGTTGCCCAGGTTGATTGTAGTCTTAGAGGATTTTCTAAGAATAAAACTTCAATGTTGGGATCTATATAGTGAGTAGCAATGGCCAGGTAAGAGTTCTCCAGGTGAAAGTAACAGAAAGGAGTAAGGTGTTGGTCAAAGAAACTTGAAGCAAAGAGAAGAAGTGTGAAGGAGCAGGGAGCAGTGGACAGTGAACCAACAGCTGTATCCCCTGGACAGTCATGGACCCTAGAGCTCTTCCTATCCCGAACAACTCAACACAGAAAACATTCTGCACTCAGCACGAATGTCAGATTTTATTAGCCATATCCCTGGGAAAGCAAAATATTGCAAGGTAGTGAAACCTCAGTATATGTTTGATTAACTTACTAATTATTGATGTTATTTTTAAGCAGAAGATAAGGTCAAATTAGTGTATTTTTGACAGAAGAAACTGAAGCAAAGGGGGCCAGCACGAGGATACCTTAGTTGAGGCCATTTTGGATGGATCAGCTGAGGTCGGGGGAGGTGGAGGATGGCCAGTGGCTGTGGGCATACTGGCTCCTGGAAGACAGGACGGCTGAGTCTGCTCTTCCGACACCTTACTCTTTTTGGTCCCATCCTTTCCTTTGCCTGTGGTTTTTCTTTTCTGAAAGTAATTTGATTTTCCTTTTATTACCTTCCAGTGTCAAATGAAGCAGAGCACATTTACCTTACTAGGAAGTAGGTTTATTATGCTTATCAAGGGGCTTCATGAAAAATTGAGGGGCTTTGGTCCATCCCTGGCCAGTTGTAAGAGATGGACACATATCATTCCTTTAAACAAAGGAAGAGGAAAATTATACAAATCATTTCATTGCTCTTTTTACCTCTGTTGAGGGATGTGCTGACTTTTAAGTAGAAACCAGGACTTTATAAACACGGGCGAAACATTTTCCTATCTGATTCTCAAATTACCACTTCTCTCCGCTGGGGTTGAAGATGTACCAAGGTCATACGTACATACACTGGTTTGCTAAAGTTTTTATTTCATTACCTTGTGCAAAGAAAATGATCAATTATTAGATAATAATCAACTATTAGGTAATTTGCTGAATCGTAAACTTGATGGGAAACCAATGAAGACATCACTGCCTGATGGAGAGATTGAATGAGAGGGCCTAGCACAGTTACTTCTATGTAACTTGGCACCTGTTGCTCTTCCTCAGTCTCACCTGAGGTCCAAAAGTCACCTCTACTTCCACAGATGTGACAGTGTGGCTTGTGGTGGGTGCAGGGTTAGCAGGACCATCTTCATCCTGCTTGCTCTTTTTTGAGAGGATTTTTCCTTTTGCTGGTGTGGATCTCCTTTTCTTAACTAATGCAGAAAACAAGAGGACATATAAGCCCAGAGCTGCTGATCTCAGAGAGCCCCACTAATTCCTCTCAGCTCCCGCTGAGGGCTCAGGGGTGCTTCAGGCTGCCTCCACTGCACCAGCCCAGCCTGGGCTCAAGGTGACCAGAGACCACAGTCACAGCACAGGTACAGACACTGTCTCCTGGTGCTCATTCCTTCCTGTACCCCTCCCCTGTGCCCTGAGCACCTCCTTCCCGTCCTCTGAACTGCAAGAGATCAGGCAATCCCTCCCAGTCCTGTCTCCTATCATTTCCTTTGGAAAATCAAAGATTGTCCTGCTGCTGCTTAGTGGTGTTCTCCAGATGATCTGTACAAATGACAGAACCAGTGAGTGCAGATGCAAGACAGATTTTCAGTGTGAAATATGGCAGTTTGGGACTCCTGATTTAAAAAAAAAAAAAAA